TGGTGAGAAACTGGTCTTTTTGTAAGTTAGAGCAACTAATAGTGGACTGAATGATTTCATCATCAGCTGGAACAAAATAAACAAGTGAATAAAAGGTACCCCAAGTTCAGGATCCTGGAGTTTGGGATGCCTTAAAAAAAAACCCAAAACATTGATTTATAGCACAAGAAGATTCTATTTTCTAGGTCATTTTTTCTACCTTAATTGAATTTCTTGAATATTTCACATTGAAAGTGTGTTTTCAATGGATGTTTTTGTGTTCCTTAGTTATTATTTAGTTTAACTAACTTTAGTTAGTTATTCTAGCAAGGAGAAGACATTAAAGATGAATTATTTCTCTGACTTCTCATCTATTACTCATGGACTGATCTGAGATTCCAGCTGTCAGAGCAAACCTGTGCTGCTTCAGATGTGCTGCTTGGTGTCTCTCACCCTTAGTATGCACAAATACACATAATATCACATTTAAGAAATACTATTTCCCAGTCTGCTAATCTGCTTTGTGCAGGCAGTTGCAGCAGAGAGGCAGGGTGCCTTTCCTGCAGTGAAACTTGCCCAAAAATTTGGGCTCTGCAAGGTGAAACTGATACTAAAGTCAAACCTTTGGCTTGTCAGTTAGACCTGGCAAAATCTGGGAGCTGGTAGGTGCTGGTGGTGGAGGTGGTGACCAGCATCAATGTGTTCTGTTGGACAACTTTTGACCAGGAGAACACTTTGAGAATAACTAGGAGAGATAATTTGGGCAGTGAGGCTGCCCAGACAATGGGGGTGATGTGAAGAGGAGGTGGTTGTGTTGTTCATTGTGGTGGCCAAATGAATGATGAGATGTGCCTGTAGAAGGTGGCTCTGACTGGTGGTTCTAGCTCTTTAGGAACTAGGTGAGAGGGTGGAAAGAAGATGCTGTCAGCCTCTGCATCTTCAATCTCCTGATTATTCTTCTTAAAGGGCTTTTTTGGGTCTTTTGGTGAAAATATGATACTGATCTCAACCTCTTTTTACCTTTGTTTTTTGCATAACTTTATTTATTGAGTTCTACCCAGGTTCCTTCTGTTTGTTTTACTGCCAGAAAATTTCTGTGTGAAGAAGAAAAGTCAATGACATGGAATTAAAAAGACTCATGTCAGTCTCATAATAATAAAAGTGCATGGAACAAATGAATTTGGGCTTCATTTTGTAGCTTATGCTTCTTTGGAGCACTTCATTTTATCATCAGAGAGGCATCGTTTGTTTAAACTCTGCTCCTGGCTGACATCTGGTTTGAAAAGCATAATAACCTATATAATCAGCTTTTAAAACGCTGGATTATCCGTGGGTTTATTGACTCTTCTTTACAAAATCTGTTATTTCTAATTAATTCTCCACATAACTATTGCTCAAGCCAACTTGGGGGAGACACAAATGAGCTGGATGGCAATGGCTAGTCAAGGTCAGCGTTTAACTGCCAGCATTTGCACTGGGGAGGATAATAAATCAGGCTTATTCCTCATCACAGACCCTCCAACGTGACAAATGGTGGTGGAGCCATCTAAGCAACCATTTTACAAATCATTTAGAAGATCCATTTGGCATTGTTAAACTGCTGCGTGCTGCCCTGGGCTGTAAAAACGTTGGGATAAAATATGTGTGCTGTGGTAGATCTCCTCTCTTTGCATCCTGCAGAGTGTGTGTGGATGGGAGGGGGGGTGTTTGCTTATTATTCTTTATTTTTTTGCCTTGTATTGGAAAGAATGAGAGAGGTGTGAAAGTATTAACATCAAATCAACCTGTGGAAACCACTGGTTTTGGGGAGCAGTGATGAGTAGCCAGCTCTATGGCACTAGTTCATCTTTCTTGTGGTTTTAGTTAGAAGTTTATTTTGAGAGTAGCTTGCTGCCCACAATAAATTTTCAAGCTCAACAATAGCCCATTGTGTGAAATTTAAAAAAACCCAAACTGTTAAATATCAGAGCAATAGTTGCTAGACTCTAATTTGGATTTGGGCAAATGTGTAAACACAGTGATTTCACTTAAATTTAAGACTCCATCCTGCTGTGACACACAGATGTCATTATATTGAGGGTGTCATTCCAACAGATATTTGGCAGGAGGCTAATTGCTGTTGAGGGAATCAATTGTGAAGTTCTTGGTTGGGTTTTTTTATGGGGTCCATTCTTCTTGAGAGCAACTTTTGTATTTTTCAAAAGAGAGAGCAATGCATCGCCTAAATAATCTGAATTATTGTAATTAGACATCTCATCTGGAACAAAAAAAGAATAAAAAAACCCTTGAAGTAAATGAATGTATATATCTGTTCATAATCAGCTGAATTTAACACTGAATTTTTCCCTGTTAAGTGTAACTTTTCCAGTTTACATTAGAATTACTTGAAAGAAATGGATGAAAAGTTTCTGGGGAAAACATGAAAAGGGAAAATATTTAACTTGAAGCATGCATGAAAACCACGTTCAAAATGTTGCTTTTTTTTTTCCTTTAGTGTTTTCCCCTGTACATGTATAGGCTCTAGAGCTATACCACTTAATTGATGTTACAAAAGCAATGAAAAATTCAAGTTTCTGTGTCATAAACACTGAATATCTGGCCTTGAAATGGGGGTGGAGAGGTAGTTTGCTCACCAGTCAAACCTTAATGAAGTCTTCTTTACCATGGCCAAGCTGCTAAGAGAGGAATGAAGAATATAAGAGCAATAAGAACATAAGAGTAATAAGAATATAAAAGAATAAGAACAATCCAAATGTTGTCTAGAAGCCAATCATAGCTGGAGCTGGCACAAGTTGGAGGAGATTGAAGCACCAGCAGCTAATATCACCATTCCTTAGCAGTAGAGTTTTTTGAGAATTGCTGTGTTGGATGCTTCTATAAAGAATTAAAATACCTCATTTGTGTTTTAACCTATTCTGCTTACAAACTGATTAAAGGGATGTAGGATTGTTACTGGAATTTTATTCCAGAAAGTCAAGTTTCCATTTATGATGCTGTGGCCGAGTGGTTGAACACATGCCTTGGATTCAAACTGGACCTTCACCTCTCAGCTGAATGCAAGTTCTTAGTTTAGAGAAGCCCTGTATAAAATATTCTATAGATTATATCTTAAGTAGGCATTTAAAATAGTGCTGGATCATCTGATATCTCAAAGTGTCTAAGTGGCTTTTTTTTACCAAGTCATTCTGCGTAAGCCAAATTTTATTGGGTAGCTTGTATCTAAAAAAAAAAAAGGCTCTCCCACCTTCTGCAAATCCTACATGACAATAGATTTTCAACTAAAAATAAGACCTACTTTATAGATACAGTCTGTATATAGTGTGTGTGTGAGTATAATATAGATGTTAAAATAAAAACCCCATGCACGTTGCTGTCCTACACTGGAAACCTCCATTTCTCCACAGGGAGAGTTCTCTAACAGAATTATCTTTTTGAGAGATTAATAAATGAAATTAATAAACCCAAAACAAACCCACCCCCTTTTTGTAGGGTAGAAAGATTAGGAAAACTTTTCCTCCTCTCATGAAGAAATGGGAATATGCAGCATCAAAATTAAACACAATGCCCCGAGACATTTTGGGGGTAGGTCAGAATGGGAATGTTTCTTTTTTGATGCAAAATATCATCATTTACAATGAAAAAGAAGAATTTTTTAAAAAAAGTAGTTGAGTTTTCCAGGTTGTTGACATTTTACCTACAACGCAGACACTTTTTGAGGGATTTTGTTTAATGAGAGGCTTAATATTTGTTTTTTTTCCTGCAGTATGAAGCGTGTTAGAGGGAGAAGGTCCCAGTTTGTTGCCTGAATAAATCCAACTGTAGAGCTGCAGCCTGGGCAAATCCTGTAGAAGGTTTTGGGGGTAGATTGATACCCTGTGTATAGGTATAAATATGACTGGTGCACAGAGAGTTTATTTTAACACAGATTGGGTGAGATTTTCCTTTATATCAGATGAGCTAATGCCATCCCCTAGCAATTATCAAGTAGTGTGAGGTTATGTAATGAAAGTATAAATAGCACAAGGACTAAAACCAGTAAATCTAACAGACTGGTGAGCAGACAAGAGCAGGAATACCCTTTGGAACACTTTGATGAGCATCTCAACGCTGTCATTTAATAACATATTTGGATTTGATGTCCCAAGAAAGCTGCAGGCCAGGAGAGTCATGCTCCTTGGTCTGGAGTGACATGTGGAAGAGGTGTGGGAGGGATCCAAAACTTCCATCTCCTGCAGTATCTGGCACCTTTCTCTGAACTTCTATCATCTTAGGGTGGCATTTCCAGGAGAGGAGGGAAGGAGGAGACTCACAGCATCAGGAAACATGACTTCTTCTTGAAGAGCACTGCCTCTTACAGTTGCTAGTGGAAAATAACTTCATGAAGACACTCGTAGGGCCTTTAGAAACCATAACTCTCTAAACCAGGGTTTTCTGCACTTGGAGGATTTAAAAAGGCTTCAAAAATACTGTGGAGCTGTTCAATTTAACAGCTTCATGAGCTGTTAAATTACAGAAACACTAGATACAAGCTCTAGGACCACTGTAGTGGGGAGGAGGAGTGTGGACAGGAGAGTGCCTACCACTTTTCCCTGCTGCTTCATAAAATGGTCTCAGTGGTGTTTTTTACAGGTATCCTGTAGCTGTAAAGCTTGAAACAAACAGAAAGAAAGAAAATTTATCACTCTCAGGCTGCTGCCAGAAGGGTTGGTTGGTTGCTTTGTTTCTTTTCAGTTTTCATCATCTGCTACCAATAAATTCCACTGCCCTTGTGGCAACTCCTCACATGAACATTGATACATTCTGGGTGTTTCACAACAGACAATAAAAATTTTGCACTTCCTAATTAAAGCAATTCATATATTCAACAAGGCAGTGGCAGAAAGAGTTGTGGTTTCCCAATTGTTAGGTGCCCTGAGCAACAGACCTGTTATAAATTCTTAATTGAAATTAGTATTACGGCCAGTGTGATGTGAAATATTCATAGCTTTTATTTTTTTTGCCTTTTTTTTTTTTGATTCCAGCTCTTCATTGAGAAGTGTATCCACTGGATCTTCAAGACCTTCCAAAGTGTGTTTGGTGTGTGGAGATGAAGCATCTGGGTGTCATTATGGGGTGGTGACGTGTGGCAGCTGTAAAGTTTTCTTCAAGAGAGCAGTAGAAGGTAAGAAAACACAAAAGTCAACAAGAAACTTGTATTATTTTAATAAAAATTTATACCCACAGACGTTTTTCCTGCTGTTGATAAAATTCTGTGCTGTTAACCTGCACCAAGATGTTGGATGATCTCTAATTAGGTGTATAATTGATGGAGGATATACCAGGGTGTTTGGTGATGGATGCCCTGCTGAAGGATGTGGTGTTGCCCTTCATGGCACTGGTGGACCAGGCTTCTTCTCCACCCTTCCAAGTGGATTGTTGTACCTGTGGCTACCTCCCAGGGCTTTTGACTCAGTGCAGCTGCTTTGTCCTTGGGCAAAAGAAGAAGTGGCTTTACAGTGACTGGGGCAGACTGGTGAGGAGGCAAGACTTGGTCATGGTGCTTTTCTGAGAGACTAGTTTCTTCATTTGGGATGAGGACTTTCATGAGGACTACACTTTGGTGGCTTTATGATGACATGAGTGTTTTGCTGATGGTTTATGTTGATGATGGTGTAACTGCTCTTTCCTGGCCTTCTCAATAGAGAGGAGTCAGGATCACTCAGAGTGCTGCAAGACCTCTCTGGTAGGTCTTGCCTCTTGGTGACTTGGGTTGTTAGGGTAAAAGAATATGTTTGACCTTTACAGACCTTGTAGGCAACTTCTTCAAGTGATAAAAATGAAGTTTTTAATACCTGTAAAGAATAAAAGTTCATGGCATGCAAAGGCTGTAAATATTGTATGGGTTTTTTTGAAGTCTTTGAGGAGTAGATGTTCTTACAACTGCTTATGAAGCAGGTGGCACCTACTTATTGATATATTTTCAAGAAAAAAAACACTAGGAGGAGGAAAATAGGCCCTTAATATGGTGTCCAGCTTGTGCACTGAGAAGAATGAGGCAGTGTGTGATGTGATTAATTTCTTCTGTGATCATTAAATCTGCTGCTGGTGGCAATGAGGATTTAGGTCTCTGTTAAATAGACCTGGAGGGCTTGTGTGTCACTGAAGTCAAGACTTCATCTAATACCTCTCTTATCAGTGGATTTATCTATCATCAGAAGTGTCAATCTAATGAAAATGAACTTCCCAAAGTTCTAAGGACAGGGAAAATGTTTCTCCCTTCTGAAGGCATTTTCTCTTGTCCAGTAGCTGACCTTGGTGCCTTCATTCCCCAAGGTCTTCCTGGAGGTTTTTAGTGGCTTAATTTGTAGCATATGAACTGGAAAAACTTCCTTTGGGTGATTTCCTCCATGTGCTTCCACACAACAACATCACGGGTGGGTCTTCCATGTCTAAGTTGGCCTCTGAATTTGTTGTGGTGGTCGTGAGGTTTTGCACCTCCTGTGTGAAGTGACAGCAGCTTTTATTCTCTTCCTTCCTCCTTTCCTGCCTTCCAGGAAAGCTCCCTTCCCAGTCTTCCATCACTGTCATTTCAGGGAACTGTGTATCTACATTTCCCACTCTCATTTGACATCCTTCCTGATGGATATCCCTATCCACCTTTACAGGAATTCAATAAAAATTACCAAGGAATCCCTTTGGAGAACAACAAAATACAAGACTACTTCTCCAAGACTCAGAAACCAAAATTACTGGGAAAGGATCACTCTCTAATGGGGTATAGAAATGCATTTAAACATGTAGTTAAAAATTACCAGTAATTACCAAAAGGCAAAACAACTCTGTCATCTCTAAAAGTGGAAGATAGACTTTTAAAATTAGCTTAAAATACATTTTTTTAGAATCACTGTGGTTGAAAAGGACCCCTAAGATCATCAGGTCCAACCTTCCTCCCAACATTCAGGGGAGAAATTCTTCCTAATAGCCAACCAAAACCTCCCCTGGCACAACTTGAGGCCATTCCCTCTTCTCCTATCATCAGTAATTTGGGAGAAGAGACCCACACCAGCCTCACCACAACCTCCTCTTAGGTAGTTGCACAAACACTGAAAATTTGGCTTGCACCATATCCCAAGGTTTCCTGCTTTAAAGGAAATAATTGCAGTAATTATTCTGTGTAAGTTCATGAGAATGGTTTTTAAACTATGGTGGTTCAGAGCATGATAAGAAATAAATCAAAGAGGAAGAAATACTTTAGATGTGGACCCTGGACATGTCTCAGCTCTGGGCTCAAAGCTCTGTGCTTTAAGTGCTTGTATTATTGATTTTATTACAAAAGAAACCAGTAAAACCTCTGGAGATCATCTGGTCCAACACACGCTCCTCAAGCAGGGCCACTTAGAGCCAGTTGCCCAAGACCATATCCAGTTTTTGAACATCTCCAAGGATGGAGACTCCACAGCATCTCTGGGCAACCTCTGTCAGTCATGGGTCATCCTGACAGTAAAAAAAAGTCCTTCTTGATGTTCACACAGAGCTTCCAGTGTTTGAGTTTGTGCCCTCTTTGAATGGAGCAGCTCCCTTTGAAGGGGAAGAGGCTTTTGGTCATTCTTTTCTACTGATGAAATTAAAGTTTTATTTAGTTTAAATTAAAAAGTGACATACTGATAGTCCTTCAAAAGGTATGGTGGCATGAAAATTATGGGAGAGAGCAACTGGTGTTCAGGCCAAAGGGCAAGAACAAGTGGTTGACTTGAAAATGTCCCTCTTCATTGCAAGGAGGTTGGACTAGATGACCTTTAAAGGTCCTTCCCAACCCAAACCATTCTGTGAAGTGGAGAGACAATTGTTTCATGCCAAAAAACATGGAAGGAAGAGATTTGGAGAGGGAGACACCACTGCACACCATCCAGCTCTTTGGGCTTCATTGCAAGGAGGTTGGACTAGATGACCTTTAAAGGTCCTTCCCAACCCAAACCACTCTATGAAGTGGGGAGAAAAATGGTCTCATGTCAAAAAACATGGAAAGAAGAGATTTGGAGGGGGAGACACCACTGCACACCATCCATCTCTTTGGGGCTTGGCTGGAGTTGCTCCTGTTGTCAGCCCACCTTGAACAGCTTCTGAGTGCCAGTTCCTTTGTGCTCCTCTGAGATCAAACGGGGGGATTGTAACAGAAAAGGACCAACTGCTGTGGAATTTCACACCAAAAAAAGCACCCAACAACAACCAGACTGGAGCTTGCCCTTCCAATCATCAATTTGGGAAGTGTATTCCCAGTGAGACTTATTTTGGGAGGCTTGCAGAAAGTGTCTAATGAATTTATGAGCTGTAGACCAAAAAAAAAATATCGAATTGGGTTTACTGGTGAACTTTCAAAAGCAATTTCAGATGGAATTCATGACAGGGAGGATAAATCAGCAACGTGCAGGATTTTGGTATGGAATAAGCATGAACCTTTGGCTGAGTGACTGGATGAACAGGCATCTGCTCTGAGGACATGCAATGGTGTCATTAATATAAATTTGATCTGCAAATGCCAAAATCTTTTAACCATAAAAGCAAGGATAAATGATGTCACTGAAAAAGTGAAGACTTTCATATTTATAATCTATTTTTACCTAGGATAAATATATTTGATTTTCTCAATGACAGATATGGCCGATCAGAAGGTAATTGAAACTTGGATTTATGATCCCTAATAAAGTCATGTGCTGAAAACACACTATCTTGTGAGGAAACCTAAAGCACCTGGCTGGTCTTGTCTTCTCTTTTTCCACTGAACCAGCTTTCTTGGAGGAGAGTCACAGGCTTGAAGTCAAAAATCACAGCTGCTCTTACGTATGCTCTGCATTTTTAGTCTTCATTTGTTCAAGTTCCAGACAAGTATGAGGTAATCTGTCCTAAATCAAAATTTAAATCACATCTTAAATTGCTGTAAGATAATCTTTCATTCTTCCTTCAGTTTGAAGGTAGAAAAAAGGGTGTTTTTTTTCATCTCTCAGTGGTGCTTAAGGACTGCAGCAGAAATTATCATCTCCTCCCAGTTATTTTGCTTATTTGTTGGAAGACTTTTGTCTGCTTAAAATGGAAGAATTAGAATCATAGAATCATTTAGGTTGGAAGGGACCTCCAAGATCATCAAGTCCAACCATTAACAAATTATATCATATTAGCTATGATTACTAGGACAGGATTACTCTCTAATTGGGTGCAGAAATACATTTTGAAAATGTAGTTAAAATACAAGTTTTTACTTAAAAAAAAGCTACTTTAACAGTTTTTTTAAATACAAAGATACAACATTCAGTAAATATCAAGTTTTACTGTTGACTTCTGCTCCAGGAGATTTGCATTAAAGCTAATTTTGCTTTCTCAAGTCAGAAACAAGTCACAGCAACAAAAGTTTCTAGAATTGTATCTTTTTCACCTGGATAATTTGCTTTTTTGCCTATTTAAAGTAGAAGGGAATTGAGCTGAAGGAAATTCTTCAAGATCTAATCTGGTGCTGCCTTATTTAAATGGTCTCCTGGATGTAGTAAATGTGCTGTGCACCTAGTGACAAAGAAATCCCACCTCCACTGTGTGTTTGAACAGCAGGTTCTCCAGGGCTTCAGCAGCAGAAGGGATGAGATTTCTTGGGTAGCAGTCTGTAGGGATGTGGCACAACCTCAAAGAAGAGCTGGTTTTCCTCTCCCTTTGTGCCCAGCTGCTCTGAAAAGGAGGATCCAAGCTCTCCATCACCTGGGGTAACTCTGTCTGCCTGGCCAGGCACTGGGGTTGATCTTCTTGCCATGACCAAAGGGCTCCAACAGCCTTGTAGAGACTCATCTTCCCAGGAAGGATTGTGAGCTGTTGACAGCCTGAAAATTCGCTGGTGATAAGCTCAGTTCTTGGGCAATTAAAAGCACTGTGCAACCTTCTAGCAATGGGCTGGTTGCAAAATATTCCAGGGATACTCTCTACTCTATCTACTCTCTGCTTCCAGAAGGCCACACAAGAAAGAAAGTGATGTGTAACCTGGTTTTTTTTCAGAAATTGAGTAATCTTCTTATGGTTTTCCAATGCATTGGAAGTAAGAACTTCCTAAGGTTCTCTACACCCTCCAAGAGAAACTAAAGAGGAACTAAACCCTCTGTGTGTGCCTCCTAAATCTTTATTCTTCTGAAGTAGAAAAAGTATCAA